CCGGCACTATCTGAAAATAACTGGACATCCTCATTTGAGACCCAAAATCTGTCATGAAAAACGGAAATACCGTTAAATGATTCTAAGAAAAGTAGCCACATAGACAAATCCAATTTTATTTCTTTTTTGATTCTTGATGAGATTTAGTAAGCCCACATATTGAATTGATTAAGCGGCGAATAAATGGCCGACCAATAACTATGGCACGACAGCAAAAATTTAAAGATCCAATTAAAGATTGTATCTCTTTTAATGTTGCTTTTTTATGAGATAAGATATTCTTTATTTTTCCAACAACCTCGGTTATTTTGGTCGTGGGTATTCTCACAACCATTTTGTTTGAATCTAACTCGAGGCCGAGAAAAACGAGGCTCTCCGTGGGCCCCTCGGTCTTATCTTCGGCTAGGGGTAGCCCTAACTCCGACATTGTTTCTCTAAATATTTGTAATGCCCTATTGCAAGAGTCCATCGACGTATCACCTCCCAAAAAATCATCCAAATAGTGAATTAATTTCCCTGATTCAAAGTTAAATGCAATGCAAAATTCTAATGATCTTGAAAATCTTTCAAAGGTTATGCAGCTTACAGATGCTCCAAACGGAAGTGCCTTATCGAAATAAAACTTATCATTATAACGAAAACCAAGCAACTCAAAATCTGAAGGTTTAATAGGTATCAGACGGTAAGCACTTTTAATATCGGATTTAAATAGTTTGCAGTGCTGACCTAGATCTTGAATCATTTTGATTGCCTGATCGAAACTGGTGTATTGAACCGTGCACAAGGCCGGATCAATATAATCATTGATTGATTCGCCCGGCGGATATGACAGATGATGAATCATTCTGAACTCCACGGGGGTTTTCTTCGGGACCAGACCAATCGGGGGATACAATTAAGTTTGGTAGTGGACGCTCATTGAATGGTCCAGCTACGTGGCCAGCTATAATTTCTTTATTAATTTGACTGTTTATTATTTCCGGATTTAACAGAGTAGAACGCAGATTATTGGAATCACATGCAACACGGGGACCGGAATACTGTAGTGGAAATTCTGGAAACAAAGTGATCCCTCGGAAGTATCAATCACAACAAAATAACATAAGAATTGCAGACTCGGTTTGATAAAGTCTGTACATGAAGGATAATGAATAGGTGCAACATCCCTCACGCCCCCTAGCACCGGCTTGAGCGGTACTCAATTCTCAACATTTTATAATGTTGGCATCAATGATCCCGAAGGACCAGAAAATATAACAACACTGAAGTGAAGTACGGGGCAACTTTTTACGGCTGCCACACGGCACTTGACACCTGCTGTTGTGAAGTACAAAATTCTGGAAACAAAGCCATTCTTAAAACCATCATATAAAAACTAAAAACTCTGCTTCAATTTCATTACAAAATTGTAAATAATATTGCATGGCCGAAAGTTTAATTGGTGATTTCGCAATATTATGAAATATCTGGATTTGACTGTTTTTCTGATGTACAACAATGATTCATCGATTTACTTGTTTGACTGCCCTCTATTGTAACCTCTCCCTCTTGAATCGGACTGAGACCCCCTTCCTCGAAAATTACGTTAAAAAGGTGGTGTACGGCTAATTTGAAGAGAAACAGTTTATCTCAGGATGGGGCGCATTACACTTCGCGCATAAGTGGGGAAATTTGCAGTTTTGCCACGTGCATCTACCATTATAAAAATCAAGACACGTGTACTTAAATTTTGAAACGTTTTGGGCTTGATCAGGCTGTCTAACTTGCATACACCGCCACCATAGGTCATTGTTGATTTTAGACCATGGTGAAGGTGTAACAGCCTGGCGTAAGCGAAACTGCTCATCATAAGTTTTCCAGGCTGACCCGCCTTGCGCATAGCGCATTCTCTTATATTGTGCATATAATGTAGCAGTTCATTAACTTTGTCTGAATGATTTGACAGGTATATGGAGGCATATATGAAATGCGTTTGTCCATTTTTCGATATCATAAATCTGATCTTTACACTCCTTTGGAGCAGAAACCAATTGTAAATCGGAATTAACCGTAACAATACCGCCCCTAAAAAATTCGGATAGCTCAATTGCACCCTTAAGCAACAACGCAAAATTAACGTACTCGCCTCTACAGATTTGCTGTTGAGAACTGTAGGGATATGACCCGCAAAGTCATCGTCTGCTAGGCGAACAGACGTTGCTGAGCATACATTAGCTGGTGTAACATTTGTCAGCGGCCTAGAATGAACATTTGCATTATTAGTGGTTGTGTCGGACCCCAGAGAATGATCATTATTTACACGTGTTGGTAAATCTTTATTTCAAATAATATCCGATGCACTCAAAATTCGCTCGAAGTCGATAACATTGGACTTACCCGCTTCAGTCTCTAGAAGCCTGACATCCACCATGTCGTCCAATTCGTCGGCTTGGCGCTTCTGACCCCTTGATTGTCTGGCATCGACGCGCGGGTTAACCTGCACGTGCTCTTGACTCTGCTGGGGCTGGGCGCTACCCCAAGCATTTACTTCTCTACCTGCACGACGTGGAGCTGAATTTTCTTGACATTCGACGGTCCCTCTTGCATTTCTCTGCAAACGACGCTCCCCTAGAGGAATTTCAGGTACTGAAGCTGCCTGTCTTTTCTCGCTGCGTCGCATAGCCATTTCTCTTCTCGAAGGTTGAATCCTTCGGCGTGTACGACCTCGTTGCATGGCAAATAAATTTCAGCTTAATCTAATTGAGTGTGTTATAGCTTCGTCGTCAAACAATAACTGAGAAAGTTGCACGAGAAACTCGGGCTTTTATATTATTAACAGCTAACTCTTTAAACCCGGCCCTATATAGAAATGGTAAGATAGACACGGTAACCAGTGTAATGTAGCTGAGGTTTGTCGATTGCCACGTAATGATAGCTTTAAACAAGGTAGCAGACGATTATTTCGCTAAAATAAATGGTATTATTTGAATTCTAAAATAGAAGTTGTATGTAATAAAAGAAAAAAATGATCGAGAATAAGATATTATGCTACTATTTTAAGTTATTAGCTTTTATCGTATTGTAATGATTTTGTGCATGTGCCATTTGCTCTTAAGGATATAAACAAAAGACTCATACAGGTATTTTGGAAGTATTCCGTCACAAAATTCAAACAATAAATTAGCGAATATCTACCTTAAGTTTATACACTTTAAAACATGTCGCGTGTTTTACATTTTGTCTTTTGTTAGCAGGTTTCGATCCTTTCCATAATTTTGTTTTATTTTATTAGCGCACACATACACTTTTAAAGCTTTTCATGGAAAAGCATGGAGATTCCTAGTCGGAGTAATTAAGTTAAGTTATTTTATTTCAAACATCTTGTTTTTCACTATCCGCCATGGTCTTTTGATTTATACATATAAGGGAACTATTCAGCTACCTTACGGAATCTTCATAGTACTACCAGATGCCCACTGCGGCCTGATGAAAATGTTGGGGAACCTTTGGTTTTCACTAACGGTAAAGCTGGGTAGATGCTGAAAGGCCAAAACTATGTTTGTGCGACTTTAAGCCGGTATTAGAGGGCGTGGCCGGTAGCTTGCACTTTCCAGTACCGTCTATATACAGGCTCAGCCAAACCAAGCATGCAATATTTTCATTTCTGCCGTCTTTATCTTTCGTTCGAGATTCCTTTTTCTATATTAAATTCAATAAACAAAAAAAATATTGAATGGCAGGAAACTAATACAGTGTTTCCATGATCACCAACGTATGAACACATCTGTTTCATTTTCTAAATAACACAAAAGTAGCAGAAGGCTATTGTATATACTAAATGGTGTAACTGATACCACTTGATTTGCCTTATCAGTGGAAGCCTTCAAACCTATTACATTAGATGTTTTATTCCCTCTAGAACTAGAACGGCATTTTTTTCTAATAGAATCCGCTAATATTGGTACATGAATCTTTCTTTGAACGAAAAGTTATTTGGATGTCAAGGGTTTTTTAAGAAAACAATTTTAACCTCCAATTTACTTTATGTTGGGAGCAATGAATCATATTTTGATCATGAGTATGCACTTATTCCCATTTAATCGTATTTGTTGTCGGGAAACAATTGCATTGCATTACTGTGAATTTCTTTCTTTTATTTTGGAATGCGAATATCAAAAGGTTTGTTTCGAAACGATTAACATTAAATTAAAAGGAACGTACATACCATCGTCATTGTTTATGTTTGTTCAAAATGTTTTTGAAAATTTTTAGATATAAAAGCAATTAATGATATATGATTGATGTCATGTTGAAAAAATAAAGACCTATAGGACTGTAATAAATTGCTTCTATTAGGAAAAAAAATGATTTCATACTATATTTGTATAAGTTTATGTATAGTTAATCAATGGGCTGGTGTTCTTTTTATATATAAGTGACTGTAAATTTCTGTTGAGTCTTAACCATTTCAATTTAATGTGTGACATATGATCATGATCTTAAACGGGAGAGCATACATTTCTCCATTATGAATCGACGTCAATTTTAAAAATGATACTTCTTAGAAATAATAAACGTGTTGCCCTCTTATACATACACGGATTAGTAATGAATAAAATACTGACTTTACAAAATAAAAACCGCTATTAATAAATGCCTGTACTTATTGGAGTACATAATACAAGTCAACAAACTGATTTGATGGCGACGCATTTGGAAACAACAAACATACGACTTTTCAAGCACTTTCCACAGCAATACTAGAACATCTTAAAGTATCTTTTGTACTATTAGGAGCCACGTCCATTCTTAACTGTACTCTCTAACAAGTATTGGACATATCCTCACACTAATACATTAGCAAAGCAACTTCTATACTCAAAGACAAACATAACACCAAGTTTTGACAGAGTACAAGGAATATTTGCAAAAAGGGCAATAAAGTGTTATCGACGATATGTGCTTACAGTGTTAGTTATATAAGTAACGTTTGCCTTGATAAACTGTTTTTCCTTTTACAGGTATTGATGAGGAATGTGTGGAATTAATACTATTTCTAATCAAATGACTGTTGTCGGATTTTTATCTTTGTATAGGTAAGCGATATTAAAGAAAAGATTTTGCTTAAACATGTCTAATATTTTTAAAACATTAAAGGTAATATTTTTATCAATGTAAGGTACATATATTTGACCATAGGTATCATAACAGAAGTCTGCAAATGTTATTATTTATTGCTATTGAGAAGCTCAAGTTTTGTCTAACAAACGATATTATTGGTGCTTAGATTTTTATATTACATTATTTTTAGAACTATTGTTCGATACATTATGATATAAAAAGTAATGCCTTTGTAATTTTTGCCTGAACATTTCTTGTATTAACACATTGCAACTGATATTGTCAATTATCTGCATTTAAATGGGGTTTTTATCTATTAATTTATCCATTCTTTCTAACTCAAAATGATTCAATTCAATGTACAAAACTTAATTCGTAAAAAATATCAAATTATTTATCTGTTGATCTTTATATATCATTTAATTAACAAAATTATTTATCACGCTCAATTTGTCGGACATTTACAGTTAAACATGTCGTAAATCATTCTCACGAAATTGCAAACTATAAACTGTTATTAAAAACTATTTCGGGTTTATCTTGTGCAAAAGTGAGTTATTTTTGTTTGTTAATAAATTGTAAAACAAAGTGTAGTTACTGCTACATGTATCTGTTTGACTGTTATTTGCGTCTTACTTTTTCACAGATGAAAATTTGCTTGACAACATTTTATCTCACCACATATCAATGAATCTAAAATATGCGGAAATATGTACATGTTAATATGTACTAAAACTATCATAGTTAAAATTGTGTTTTGCAATTATTTGTCATAGCGACATCTTTTTTACGATTCTTTTCTCTATAAACCACTGCTTTTTTCATACATAAATGATAAAAGCTGCTCGTTATTAAATAGAATATAAGACATCAGAAAACATAACTATTCAAAATGACTTGCTGCTTAAAATTCTTTTGCAGTTTTGCAATTGCAGTTTTGAAATAACTTTGTGCGATTTTTTTTATCTGAATTTTCAATCAGTCTGCCGTATAACGCAGAAATAGTAATAAAAAGCTGCATAAAATATTTCTGTTGAAATATGAACATGAAAAAGAAAACAAAATGATATGTTTATGATCTAAAATGTGAAGGGTTACTCGTTATAAATGATTACAAACTGGTTTTGTCAATGGATTTAATTTTCTTTAAGACATTTCTCCGCGAAATACCATGATGATGTCACATACATTTTGTGCTAGTTTGTTTTGATTCTTTTAACACGCAGTAATTGTAATTATTCATCAAGACCTGCCATGACTGTAAAAAAAATGGCGTAATAACAAGATTTAAAAGAAAATCTTTAATCAGGATTGGAGATCAATGTGACATTTTGTTATTTTGCTGAAAAATTAAGAGAAAATTGCTAAATCCCTTATAGTGATACAAAAGTTAAGAAAAACAACAACTGTTACATCAATATCTACAATTTCATGTAAATCTAAACGAAATTAGTATGATAGTAAGGACTTTGAAATTAATTAAACATTGGCATACACATATCTTATTACAGTCCGATTACCATAACAAATATAATTATCTTTATATAGTTGAATTTTTACGTAATTCATAACAAATGTATTTTAATATTACTTCATCCATTGGCCAACTATGTATTATGACAAATTAGATTTTGTAGCACAAACTATTCAACTATTTTTTATGTCAAATTGCTAAATATTAAAAAGAGACAATTTAGAGTATATCTCTTTTAAATAATGAAATATTGTTAACGCCTTTGTCGACTTATTAAGATATCCTCCTTAGGAACTATGAATGTCCAATAGCAGCACAATACTTAGACCTAAAGAACTTTTTTACCAGTTTGATAAATAAATCAGATTTGAAGCAAAGATTATATCTTGTTCTCAAATATATTGATGAGGAATCGGAAATATCTGTTTAATATTCTATTTTCTCATAGCAGTTTCGTTGAATGATTGATTTTATTATCATAAGCTGGCATTCGAATATGTTAGCTTTGATTTATGAGTTTCCATTTGTTATTTTTTGACATATGTATGCAGTCAAGTTCCGGAAAGAATGAGATAGATTACTCATCTTTATATCAAGCAGTTCCCTTATTAAAATTTCATGGTATCAGATAAATATTTGTAGAGTATTTGTAGATGAATGCATTAGATAATCACGTGACTCGATTTGCAATTTGTAAGCAGGAAAAAAGTACTTTGAGGCTACTGAATAAATTTTGGTAAACTTTAAAAAAGGGATATTCTTGAAAAGAAATTAAATGTAAGAAATTAAATTCCTCATTTTTCAGTGCCAGTTATGCAATAACCGATACAAGTAATATCACAGAAATGGAACTTATTACCGTAGCCCTTGAAGAGATGTTGAATAATTATGACAAGAGGATACGGCCTGGATATGGAGGTATCACTTACTAAATATTTAAACAATTCAGATAAATGTGTTTCAATGTTTATAAAAAAGCATTAGGAAATAAAAAGGTAATCATTGGGTCTCTCTAAATGATGTTTTGAATCATAATTCTCAAAGAATAAGTATTGTTTTTTGACAAAGTCATAAAACATTTGCTCATTAAAGACTCGTTGCATCTCAACAGAATTTGTACGTATTCCAAGTATATTATTTTCTTTATTCACTTAAATATTTGACATATTCATAATTATTATATCCACTTATCACTGTTTACATTCAGGTGAACCAGTCGACGTGCAGTTAAATCTTAATATACGATCGCTAGGGCCTATATCAGAAATGGACATGGTAAGACCAAAATCCATTAACCAATATTTATGCTATGAGCATATGAGCTGATAATGTATAATTCCATCAAAATATTGTTCATTTATGTGAATAATTTCATCTGATATAGACTTTAAGATATTGAATATAGCTTATATAATAATATGACTGACGTATCTTGGCAGTCGAGTCAGAAATCTAGGTATAGATACTTCTTTAGACGACATGATAGGTTTTGTTAAAATAGTTTATAGCATGGAACACTAAAAGCTTCTTATACAGTTTATTTTCAGAAATTCTGTAGTCTTTAAGTATACAGTTCAAAGATAGCCGTTCATTTAGTTTAAGAACAATGTTGTGTTGTTTCTGCTTTATTTTACAGGCCTTCACAATGGACTGTTACTTCCGCCAAGTATGGACTGATCCAAGATTGGCAATGGGAAGTTCCTATAGCAACAATTCTAAATCTGATGAATTTATTCAATTAAGCATTAAGGTATTATAATAATGATATCTGTAACATGCAATTTGTTTTTAATAATATATTTCAAATTATGTTAAATTTAAAGTAAAATATAAAAGCATCTGTCTAAATGAACTTAAATCATTTCATAACATCATAAGTAAAAAGACGCACCTACAAACTTTTCAGTTAAACAAATCTATTACTTTGTTCAACGAAAAATGTCTTTAAGAAAATGACTTGTCATTTCAAAATTAGATTTTAGAAAGAATTTGGTACCCAGACACCGTATTTTATAATGGAATGAAATCCTATCTTCACACCATTACTACTCCAAACCGATTCATCAGGATATACAGAGATGGCAAAATTTTGTTTTCACAACGGTAAGCAAGATATAGGTTTATATTTTACCTTTGGTTAATATCTTGAAATAATGTGTTATTTTGTAAAAACAATGTTTTAATTATTAGTTGCATTGAGATGACATATACCAGGGCTGTCCAAAACGTTCGTGACAAATTTTATAGCCAACAAATTAATGTATCATTTGAATTAAAAATGATTAGTATTACTGTATGGGGGTTGTAAAGGCATAATATGTTTTTTAACAGGCAGTACTATTGATACGGATCAAAATAAGAATATATGAACATATATTAAAACTTTTCGAGTCTTTTTTTCAATAAAATCATCAAATATATAATCATTTATAAACTAACGAAGTCAAAATAGTACTGTTTCTTATACTCCATGTTAGATTTGCAACCTTAAATTACTGCTTAGTTACGGTAAACCGTTCGCTAAAAATAAGCTTACATTAAATATTTCTTAACAATCGGCAATAAAAATGGAAAAAATTTGCCCGATTTGCTGTTTTTAATGTGTAAATGAAAAAAGTACCAATTCATAAAAAATCGATAGATAAAAGAGAGCCAAATTGAGCGTATATAATCTTCGGTTAACATAACTATTTATGCTATCATGTTTACAGAATCATCTTTTCAGATTAACCGTTAGAGCAAATTGCAAAATGGAGCTTAGAAAATACCCGCTTGATGAACAGAACTGTCCATTACATATAGGGAGCTGTAAGTATATTTATATATACATTTTGTATAATTCTTTCTTTAAATTGAAGTATTACAATACTTAGAATACCCGTGAAAGATTATAATAGGTTATAATAAGGTGGCATTTTATCATGCAATTTATCTGGTGAAAAACAAAATGCTTGATAATATAGGATACATGTATAATTTATTATTTAATGCATCTTATCGCCTATGCTATTTTTATTCATATCTTGAAATATTTCGTAGAATGTCAGTTATGTAAAAGCTTTTAGATTTATTAAAGTTGCTAATGTATTTGATAAGCTCTTCCCCTATAAAATGCATGTTCCTTTGAATTCTTTATACTTCTTTCTTGTAGTTGCATATTCAACAAAAGATGTAACGTATTTATGGCGCCATGAAAACCCAGTGGAAATGCCAAAGGATATGAGACTGTCGCAATTTGATCTCCTAGAAACCCCTTTCAATTATACGTCTGTGAATTTCTTTAAAGGTGGTAAGTGATTGTTTGGCATGATATAAGTTTATCGTTCTTATGATGAATTTTACAAACTCTCCGAAAGACATATTCTATATTAAAGAATATATTATTTTCATACCATAAAACGTTATGTCTCATTTGAACTATTACCGACTTCATGAAATCATGAAAATAATTCCATATCATCTTTTCTTTCAGCATGGCATACAGTACTTTCAGTAGATTTTCGATTAAGTCGTCACCTTGGGTATTTTTTAATCAATGTTTACGTTCCGTGCTGTTTGCTTGTTATATTATCCTGGGTTGCCTTTTGGATCAACAGAGAAGCCACAGCCGATAGGATAGCTCTTGGTAATTACAAACTTCAATTATCTGATTCAACAATTCCTGTCAGCTAAATTGATATGTCCAAAGAGACACATGGTAGCAATTTATTGAAACGGATCCATTGAGGATACAAGTGACTTTGATAAAGTGACATGATTGGTATCTATTGTAATGTGTAAGAATTAGGTTTTGGTCATTAAGAATATTCATGTTGTTTGAAAAACGACACTTTGTTAAGTATACACTTTTCTTCATCTCAGTAGGGTTTGGTCAGTAAATAGTTTTATTCCTCAACATAGAAATCAACAAGCGAATTCGTTGAGTTCATATCGACCGCTGTATTACACCAGTCACGTTATTTGAAATTCTTAGTAATATGTTCCAAGATTCTATACCAACAAAATGAGTACCAAGCAGAAAGGCACTCCTTTGATATATAATATAATCAAAGCGTTATTTTGTCATTATTTAAGGTCATTATAAAATGCTGTTAATAAAGAGAGAATTAATTTTGGTTCAGACAAAATTAAAAATGAATATGATAAATTGTGCAATATCTTGTAAAAAATGATTATTGCAATAACTCCGTATTAATGTAAAACATACGATTCTTTCGCAGTGAAATTTCCTTTCATGAGATTTATGTAATAATGCCGATTCAAGTTGATATCTCTTGTTCAGAACAAAACTTTAAACATAAACGTGCATAATTTCAAAGGGCAACACAATAGAGAATCCCTAAAGAACGGCAAAATGGAAAATGTTATGTTTCAGGCTCAGTTTGATTGAGACTGTGCTGGAAATTGCAAGCTTTTTAAGTAATGCCTATACAGAAATTACAAAGGGCAACAATATCAAAATTACGCAGCAGGAGATTATTGTACTGATGAACAACACTTTCCTCAATCTGTGAAGTTATATGTTACTTACAAGGCGCATAAAATACCTTTTAAGCTTGTTCCGATTAGTGTTAACTTTTCAACTTTTAATACCGCGTTTATTATTTCAGAGTAATTATAAAATTTAAATGAATATCAAATGTCATCGAAGAACGAAATTTATAGCCAAAGTAAATTTTGGTATGTAAAATTTATTGAAAGTCCCTGTATTCTAAGTATATGTCAATGTGAACATTTTGTTCAAATTATTATTTAAAAAATGATCAAATGGTGTTTTAATAAATTACTATTCTCATTTGCAAGACAGATGTATGGGTAAAAATGAAATTGAACATTCAACATTCAATGTGCTGAAATATTCTTTTGTAGGTACAATGACTGTGTTAACTATGACATTTCTGGGCCTAGAGTCGCGTAGTGATTTGCCTAGGGTGTCCTATACAACAGCCTTAGACATTTATATAGCCATGGCCTTTTTCTTTGTTCTGGCAACAATGGTTCAATTTGCTGCTGTGCATAATTATACAAAGCATGGATATGGTGAGCCACTTCCACAACCTCCAGAAGGTCACGTGACTGGTGACGAGGACGAAGAGGAACGGGAAAACTTGGTTTGTGATTTGTTTTTAGTTTCTAAAATCGATTTATATGACTTATATAAAGTTGATTGTCTTCCTATTTGATTATTATTTATCGTTGTAAGTTTGAAAGAAAAATATCATTAATTACCTACAAAGTAAATAAGCCTACGAAAGCAATTTCATCAGATCTAAAAAAAAAAAAGACAACCAAGGTAAGGTAGCGTTGCATCAATATTGATTTTTTTCTACGTTTTCAGCTTCCTGCAAGAAGGCCGGGGGCACGAACAGCTCGATTAAAACGCCAACGTGCTCATCGAGGACATTCACATGCAAACGGAGGACACCATTTTTCCCGTGCGTCAATGAAAAGAGCCGCCTCAAAAGTATGGAGAAGTTTAACAAGACTTTCTAAGAAAAAGGAACCAGAGGACCAAAGAAATAGTGTTAGCAAAATAGATAGAGCTGCAAGGATATTATTTCCATTGGCTTTTTTATTATTTAACGTACTTTATTGTCTAATATACTACTCATTATAGCGATAAAGTATCATGTAAGTCTTATTTAAATTAAGTTTTGACGAGAATCAATTTGTGAAATAAAAATTAATTAATGTATCAGTTAACAATGAATTATGATTCTCAAAATGTCAAAAGTGTATACATACAATAAGCTTTGTGCAGTCGTGCTAGTTATAAGATGAATGTTTCATATCAAATCAGAGTTCTATGACAATTCTCACCAAAAACAAAAACACACGCAGAAAATAATAAGAACACCCTTAATATGATATTATATTTATATTGCAGCTGTCCTTTTATTATTTCAAAAAAAATCAGTTATTTTTATAAATTATTACAATAAAAAACAATAAAAACAATAACAAAGATTGTAGACAAAATATTCGCGTAAACCAAATGTGCAGTCAATGTTCTGAACTGACGTCATTTTGAAATGATAAATAATTAAAAATAAGAGCAGTATCCAATTATATTCTGGGATTTGCACAGCATTTCGTCTCTTTACACCTCTGATGAATTTGGAATAGTGTGCAAAGGTGTTAATAAAAAGCGAATACAAGGAGAATATATATTCCAAAGATTACTAGCTACATGCAGAGAAAAATTCGTTATGCAGAGGAAGATAATAAATATGCAACTGTATCTTTTATAACATTGTTGAAATTCCTTTCTGTACATCTCTAATTGCTTATTTCAGCGTTATAGTTGTTAGTTTTAAGATTGTTTTCAATACATAGTTATGTCTAAAAACGTTTGAATAAATGGTGCTTCTTTCTGAATGGACTTTGATTATCTATAATCTTAATTGAAATCGATTAAAATTATCTTCTGATGATTTGATATTCCTAGACTTTCAGTTGCTTGAATCTTTATGTGCTAAAATGTTGTTGTATGTAACAACTGCTTCCAATAGGTAAAATGTACCTAAAGTATATCAATAAGTTAACGTCATGTGTTCATAAACATAAAAAATAGTAATAATTCTACATATTCTTGTCACTATAAGTCTGACTTTTACCTTAATAACCTGTCATTGTTTTACAAAATGAAATTTCACAATTGCAATGAAAATCTAGGAAGATGTTTATTTGTTTCCGTTGAGTTTTGTCACACTGCTTTGTTAATGGTCCTTTGGTAACTTTCCATTTTTCCTGGTGAAGGAAGACATCAGGTGACCCTCCGCGCGTAACAATATATAGCAAATTGTACGTGAAAAGTCATAACTACAGAAAGTTCTTGAAATTGCCACAATCGCTGAGCAAAGAAACATTATCAGTGATAATATGAATAAATTATGTTTACCGCTTATTTAATATTGATTGAAAAGACAAAATTGTTGTCTTTTAAGCAACTATTATTAACTAAAACGACAATATACCATCTGCTCAAGTAAAATATAGACGCAAAAATTTTAATTTAATTAAATATTATCATATGTCAAAATTCATTTAATAATATCTTCTATTTAAAAGAAGTATTTTAATTCCTTATACCGGGAAAATAGCCTAAAAAAATATTTTCCTCAAATTAAAGTACCATAGGATAGAAAAATTGTCTACGAATAAAAAACCTTATTAAACATAAAAAGTAACATTTCGAAACTTTAGAATTTAGAACAAATAACACTTTTCAAAGGTATAAAACGTCGGTGTTTTCCTATGGTAGTTCATTTCGATTTTGAAAGCAAATATGATTTCTTAACTAAATTCTTTTACAATTTTTCATGCAAATGATCTTGTAAAGACACGTTTTCATTCTGATAGATATATTTCACTTAAAGTATAAATCATCTTAAAATATACGAATATTTTATTTCGCTCGATACATTTCATACAATATGCATCAGACAAGAATAAATGTTTACTTCTTTTGAAAGTACAAACAGGAGCTTTATAACATTTTGGAAAATCTGATAGTAATATTAATTATTTGGAAGTGCACAGTAATTTAAAAATAGTATGGTAACTTGCAATTACCAGTACCGTCCATGAACAGGCTCAATCAAACCGAGCCTGCAATATTTTCAATTTTGTCGTGTTGGGCTTTCTTTAGGGATTCTGTATTTCTCTATTTTATCGTCACATCCGTGTTATTTGTGCCGTGTGGCGGCTGTAAAAAGTCTACCCGTACATTTAATCAATGATGTTATATTTTCGATCCTTGAAGATCGTTCAGCAGGACATTATTGTTATGTATACATGTTATGTGGTACTTTTAGTTTCTTCTATTTGGCCTTTTTCAACTTGGGTGGTTCCATTATTCCTACTTGAATACTGTACAATCATCCTTAGGATATGTTGCCTGCTTTTTAAATTTGTCTTTTGACGTCTTGTCTGTGATACGCAGGCTTCATAACTTCAGATCCCCTTTCAAAATTCCATTTTATTTAGTTCCGCCCATTGTTTTCTCGTTTAGGGCACACGCATTATTTTACTTGGGGACCATACGCCGCTTTTCATGGAATGGCATTACTGTGTCACATTGAAGGTTCCATGATAATCACCATATGAACACATCTGCGGATGTCTCTAAATTCAAAATTTCACCATTTTTCTTGTTTAAATGTTGAATTCTGCTTAAGCCGGTGCTAGGTGGCGTGGACGGAAACTTGCATTTTCCAGTACCGTCCATGAACAGGCTCAATCAAACCGAGCCTGCAACATTTTTAATTTTGTCGTGTTGGGCTTTCTTTAGGGATTCTGTATTTCTCTATCATATTTCAAAATCATGATGCAACTGTTTTACAATTTTTGCTGTAGCTTTGAAAGGCATAATGCCTTGATCGTGGAAAGTATATATTTCTTCCTATAATTATTCGTTGGCCTGAATATTTATTGTATTCATTTGAAAGCGTCCTGCTTTTATGGTGCTAGTTTTATAATGACTGCTCATACATGTAACACTCGGAAAGGAAGAAATGCTAGGCCTCCGTAAATACGTGGCAAACAATCATCTACCAGGCAATCAATCGCTTTGAAAAAAGTATAGCTTAAATAGATAAAGTCCAATAGGAAACAGTCTCATAAATCAGATCTTCGACAAAAAATAAGGATAGGAAACATGTTTTGGTAAAGACTTTGTACATCATTTAATTTGGATAGAACGACTTGAAATATATACAGAAAAGTCAACTTTATCAGAAAAAGTTGATAAACGAGGTTTTAATTCCATTTGGTATGGGCAAATCGATACATGTAATGTATTATGCCATATATTCTATCCAATAACAAAATGATAACTGAGTGGTTATAAATGTAATTGAAAAAAGTGTTGATGAAGTTTCAAGAAAAAAAGATGCTTCCACGTGTTAAATGATTAATACTGTTTACCATTTAAAAAGTGTTTATGCTGGGGGCCTGCCGAATAGCTCAGTCGGTAAGCCTAAAAATTGTATTCAAGAGTTCCATGTTCAAGTCTCGATCATGCTGAACATTTATCCATTCCGTGACACGTATTTTCGTTTCAATATAATTTAGTTGAAGTTAATCTATTAAACATACCATACGACAACGATTTAGGCCAAACAAATGAAACCTTTATCAGCTCTTAATGTTATTTTTTTCATACAAATTCTCCTTTATCCGTATAAATCTACATTGATTAACGCTTTTTATGTCTTGAGCATAGTTGAGCAGAAGAGATCATTAATAAGTGTCATTTGCTCATTTTTTTTGCAGTATGCTGTTATGGATTGTATTTGCAGATATTTTAAGAATACAAATCATAAGACATATACATTTTGTTGTCATATACATTGGACTATTCAAATAATAACCCCTGTTTTAATCAATATTTTAGAAGTATTAACATAAATTAAAGAATATATAGCATGTATATTTATGTACGTGTCTTTTTTTATAGAATAAAACAATTTAAACTAAAGAAATCCCTGATCCCCTGTGCCTATAATAAGAGGATGTCCTACGTTATTAGAACTGTTTTCTATGTTCTACATGCTGTTTTATTACGACTGCTAACCTAAAATATTTCCTTTCAGTTGACAATGTAATCGCAAATGTATAGTTTTATACAAATGTGTCTTTCATGCTTTTATGTCAAGGGTTGAAGTTATTCGCAATACACCCAAACATTACAATGTTAAATATCTAAATCAAATCATTTTCAACTGCTACCACGCCTATATACAATACAATGCGCATTTGAAGTGAGAGACATTTTTCATTTTTAAAAATTGTGAGCGGTATCGTTCAAGTATTTAATTTAGGAAAGTACTACTGCTGAAAGTAACCGATAAATACAAATATAAATTAAAAATAATTTCACTCCAACATAACTGTCTGCCTGCATTATTCAAAAGACCTTTCAAGGGATGATTATGTTTGTACTGTTAACATATGGAGAAAATATAATATTTTATCTGCATTGTTGTTATTATAATTGTTAACTGGGTTTGATTTGTTCTGTTCGTCTTGCTTTAATTCTTAAGTCCCAAGTACTGGCTTTAACATCCTAAATACGAATATATATTTGGCAACAAAATGTAGGGTCCCAAAAAAACCACAATAATGTACCAATATAAAGAGGAAATAAGAGGCATGATTTTACAGCTGCTTTACTGCATTTAATACTAGTCCTGCTGTTGTGAGTATAAAACTAATGGAAATGGGAGATCAGTTGAGTTTTAATTGCTTCAGCTGCTTCCTTGTATAACGTTAAAGAATCATATAAGATATTACTAAAGAAATTTGAAGTTAATAAATTTAAAGTATTCTAGCCTTAAGACGGTTACAATCAGTCACTTTGTTTTACATTCGGTTAAAGTGTTCATTATCACTAGTTTTGTATGAACATAAATTAACAAACATAAAGACATTGTAGTGTGTGATAACAAACAAATAAATATGTGTGACCGTATTTCTAATTAACATATCTGAAGTGTTTTGCTTATAAATCAATTCCAACTCATGTTATTGTCTATTTATAAGGACATACTACGAGTTTTGCCTGAGCATTATCTGCTAACATACTAATAACAAATGAAGTCAACATAAATAAATGAAACCCGTTTATCAGTTTATGTGGGTTTTTTTTCTCTGAATCATTTTCGTTATCTACATAATGTGTACAGTAACAGACATGTGATCGATATAATACTAGTGCTTTAAACGGATTTCATATCACCATTCGCTGGCTTTCTTTCGCATATTCATTTATTTATAGACGCTTAACAATGACTATACTAGATATTTCAATTACATAATGTATATAACTCCAACAGGTTGCCTCATTCTTAAAATCCTTGATAGACGTTTTGAATTCAAACAACGCGCTCTAAGATTATAAACGTTTCCAAATAAAACTGATATACATTATTTTTATTATTATTTTTATTATTAAATTTATTTATTATTCTATTATTATTTTTATTATCATAACACTTATTGTATTATTATTATTTTTATTATTATTATTTAAACATGTATACATACTGATGTTGTAAAACAGTCCTTCAAATACAAGAGTTTTTTAAACAATAAGATATGTAATTCATTGTGTAATTAAAAGGATTATCATGATTCTTTGATGTGATTTTAATATTTTTTTTGTTTAAAAAAAAAACTCGTTCAGCTTTCGAAAACATCAACACAAAAAACAAGCAACTACATTGCCTTACATAGCAACAGTCAATGCTTATTACAAGTGCGTGTATATGTTTGGTACCGTTATGTTTATAGCTCTTTTGTCTCGGTATTTCCGTGATCAAATAGAAGTATATAAAACTATAATGCATTTGATTTCAGAGTACAACTCT